TCGGCGCTGCTCCGCGAAAGCGGTGCAGTACGCGAGCGTGTGCTCCGCCGTGTCCTCGTTGCAGCCACTGCAGTGGTGGCACTTCGGCGTCGGCTCCCTCCGGGCGACGAGGTGTAGGTAGCGACCGAAACAGCCGTGTCCCGTGAGCACCTGCGTCGCTCGGAAGGTGAGACGTCCTCGGAGTCTTCGCCATTCCGAGAGGACCGGGCGGATGCCGTTGGGCGGGTCCGTCGCGCCGGTAAACCTAACCTCAAACCTAACCTATTTTATTTTAACCTAACCTCAATACCCCTCCTACCTAACCTTCAAACCGTAACTACCTCAGCAACCTAACTAACCTCCGCCTTAAGCCGTACACTCCTCCAAGACCAGGACCCTAATCCTCAAACCTAACCTAACTCAAACGCTAACCTAACTCAAACCTAACTAACTCGAAACGTATACCTAACCTGGGCAAGACTTATACCTAAACCTCAACACCTAACTAACCTCAAACCCTAGGCAACCTCCCAGATAACCTAACCTCAAACCTAACCTAACCTCAAACCTTACCTATACTACAGATTCTCACACTTTTAGCAGCTTAAGAACAGTTTTACGGGAGCAAGAGTTACGCCCTCTTTCGCCGAATAGCTGAAATGAATATCTAAAGAAAATCGAGAACGCTCGTGAAGTGCAACGCGATGGCGTGTAAATGTATTATGAAATGGCATAAACGCATACCGAAGCGACTGGCCTTACCGAGAATGTTCTCGATAATCGTAGTTTTCGTATCGACTATATAAGCTTAAATGACAAGAATTTAATTAGTAATCGGATGTACTCGAAGCGATATAGCGAACGGATCAACTAAAGCGAAGTGGGGGTACAGTGATCTGTAAGTGTTTTGAAGGGTTTATTGGGGGCTTAAATTGGACTTCGGTTTAAGTTTTGTTTATCCCGAGCCCCAACGCATAGCAATAGCTACGGATTGTCAAAATGTGGTCCAGAGGATCCTTATGTAAATAATTGGGTTAATCTTCTACTTAGGTCAGAATTTGTTTACGCTGTATACCACTATATGTCGCAGATAAATTATTTTACTAGTTATCGTTTGTTTCACTCTGTACCTTATAAAGGTATTTTCTGTATTTGGTGAGTAAATAAATTCTGAATTGATTCTTGATTGTTCTTTGATTGTGCCCCATTTAGCGATCAAGCATCTCTCATAGTGTTGCTTAACGAATGCTGGAGATAAAAAAAAAATCGATACTATTGATATTTAATCGATCTTTTATAGGTATAATAAAATGAAACATAACTTTGTATACTTTAGTATTAACTATTGAACAGTATACATTTACCTAATAATTTAAACTACACAGCACTATTTTTTTTGCGGTCATACACAACACATTACTCGCTTTTTCCTAATATTTTAAGGACAAGCATGTTTATCAATCGTGGTCTTTTCTAAATATTGACGAACATCAATTAATTATCGATTCAACGACTAATGTTGTATGCCGTACCTGATTAGGCAACACTGCCGTTAGTACTATTTGACACCGGGTCGCCGGGATTTCCTCCAAAAGAAATATTAATAAGTTCTACGGTTTAGTTGCGTTCAATATAAAAAAATACAGTGAAGTGGAGGAATTCTACGACACATTTTTTTTTCTATTTTTAATTGTACAAAAAAAATATGCTATGGACGATAAAAAGAAAATAAACGATGTATTGATACCATTCTCAGACAATCGATACTTTGGATAGTTGAAATACTATCGATTAATCGAGTGACTATCGATTTTTAAACAACACTGATCTTTAGATCTGTGTTTCACAGAATTAATACCAACTTGTTATGTAATGACTACCTACCTTATACCTTGCGACCTGTAAGGTATAGCTAGGCTGGACAATTGGTGATAAAGAGAATGCTTTTGAAATTGCGAGGGCGTCTCTACTGGACCCATTGCCGAGATGTGTTGAAGAGCGGTCTCGAATCTGTAGGTACTTTTTTTGTAAAATGGGTGGCATTCTGTCGTCGTGCGCAAATGAAACACAAGCCTGTATAATAATGTCGGCGTAGTAACGACAAGTCGAGTCCGGCCCGCGCGCCGCCCCTCACTGCGACTTGTCGTTACATCGCGCGCTGTTTCTTTATTTATCTCATTCAATATTAACGGGCGAGATCACAACAGATCTAGTTTACAGAATAGATTTGTTGTGGTGCTGCTATCTTTTAAAAAAATATAAAAAATAAAATCAAAAAATATCTTACAAACAAAGGTTGATCGTATCAAATTAGAAGTGGTCGAGAACACCGGCCCGCTCGGGGCGGACCCAACATCAAAACTGAGTGCTTCTAACAATTATACAACAAACAAAATTTTAAAATTTTTCACATATATTAATTGTAATATAATCTCGATTTAATCTCGTCGTGTCGGACTTGATATTGTTACAGTAAGGCAGGTCGGAAGTGGAGCGTCTCTCTCGGCCCCGTTGTTACTATTATACAATCCCACAGTTAGCTCCCGGAGATCGACTGAACAATGTCAAACCTTTACAACTCGTCAATAATACATGTACACTTACAAATAATAAGTAACGTCCACAAACTACACCGCACTACCGCACCCGCGGGAGCGCTGTCGCTCAGTGCGCGGCCTCTACTACTGCTACTACTACCACCACTACTACTACTACTACTACTACTACTGCTGCTGCTGCTGGTAGTATCGGTACGTCACGCACAATTAGTGTATGGCGCGAGATAATGGTACAGTAGAGTCGCGCAACGAGCAAGGCGCCGGCGCTATCTGCGGAGTCCGCGGCGCCGCCCGCCGGCCGGGCCGACTCCGCAGATAATGTATTATATATTCTATCTATTCTCATATATATAAACAATAACTATAATTTACGTACTTATGATTAAAGTTTACAGATATTATTTATAATTAACATGAATATTGCTTTCGTTTATTTATATATCATTAATAATTTACATCGCACTTTCACTAGCTATTATTGAAATATATAACTATAGATACGGGCTCAAAGTCAATTCAATTAAATGACTTTTATTATATTTAATTTCATGTGTTATATTGTTCAGTAACTGAAAATAGAACAGGTACTATTTCAAGTAAATAATAAAATAAACCGTTACCTATTTTACGTAAATATTACATTTAAAAAAAAATAAAGTTAAACCTCGTCCCCGGCTTTCGCAGTAGACTCTGTCTGGCACGTGCTCGACTAACTACAATAACCTAACAATTCCTTGACTACAACCTCGTGTCGCGACCGCGCTGCTGCCCGGGGGCCCCTCGCGCACGCAGCCGACACACTGACACACACTGACGCAATCCACGGCGCGTTCTGTTAGAGCCGTTAACACAACAACAACAATCACAACCGTTACACGTTATGTCAGTGTCATCAAAATGACGATAGTGCCCGCGAACGACACGATTACCAACTTTATTCTGACAACATCAAGTATTTCATTTGCTTGTACATTTTATAGCCCAATGTGCATTTATTAATTTCTTTGCCGATGATAGAAAGAACAAAAGCTCATTAAATAATAATAAATGATAAAAACCCAGTAGAAATGAATAACATAAATACAGTATATTATAATGTAATAATGCACATAAAACAAATTACACAGTGCCACGTCGGCATGCACCGGCCCGCGGGCCCCGCCGAGCGAGCCGACGAGACGACGCAGCTCTCGCCGCTACAACGTGGAGCCCATCTATATGTATAAGCATTATAAGTACCAACGACGCTCTGCGCTCACTGAGTTTCTCGCCGGATCTTTTCAGTGGGTCGCGTTTCCGATCCGGTGGTAGATTCTGCGAAGCACTGCTCTCGCTAGGGTTCGTGTTAGCAACATCGTCCGGTCCGAGCCCCGTGAGCTCACCTACACGTTAGGGTTACGCTGAAATAGCCTCTCAAGGCTATCAGCTTAGGTAGGAAAAAAAAAAGACGCTCTGCTAATGACAATATTATTGTGAAGTAATTCCGCGCGCGCTGTCGGCGTCTCTTTGTTAAGCAGGGCGTGCCGGGGGACGGCGGGTCCACGGAACATGCGCCCGCCAACACATACGATTGTACTGAAGCCGCTCCGGTAGAGCGCAGCGGACGACCAGCGCGTACTTAGCAGCACTACGGCATTATTCTATTTAATGAGTCTTTGTGGAAGCTTCTGGTGCCTCAAAGATAACTATTTCGAACGGAACCGCCATCCGCTGGACAGCTCCGGGGAGATCCCGGCGGACCGGGCGACGGCTGGGGGCACGACCAACCCTTCGACGAGTTCGACGAGAACGGTGACGAGTGCTTGAAATGCCTAAAAGTACCGAGAGGATTAGAAAGGAGGGGGACAATAATCGGATACAATTTCTGGAATACCGATGATACAAGTGATGAAGATGATACAGTTTAGGGATGAAATTCAAAGAGCTTTTTGAAAAAGTTCATCTTCTTCAAAAGTGTACGTCAAGCGTCTGTGCAAGTGTTCCGAACGTTATGGAGGGGTTCCCCTCAAAATGAAACCAATCAAACATGCTGGAGAGGCGGCCGCCGGTACGCGCCATCAATCTTCAAAACTTTTCAAAAAATAACGGGTGCAAGGTCTCGTCTTGCACCCCGCATATCCTAACTACTGCACTACATATACATCATTACTTAATCTCAATGTTTACTTCTTTTTTAGTAAATAATCACAATTCGTGTTATTTTAAGACACAAAAATAAAAAAAACGTAAATCGTGGATACTGGTGGCTGGTAATAATTTAGCTGCGGCGCACTGGATGGCGCACTAGTCGTCGCACTAGCTGGCGCACTTGGTCTTGCCGTCGAGCAGCTTCCGCCAGAGGTCGAACTGCTCGTGGTAGCGCACCATGTGTATGGCGACGCCGCGCTGCACGGTGCAGGGGTGCGCCTGCACCTTCTTGTTGTAGAACTCGGGCGCGAGGCGGCGCGTCACGTGCAGCTTGGCGGCCAGCACGCCCGTCACGAACACGTCCTCGAGCCGCAGGTAGGGCTCGCGGGGCGCGGCCGCCAGCAGCTCGCGGACCACGTCGGTCGTCAGCAGGTAGGCCGGCCCCGTCGCGAAATCCGGGAACACCTTGCCCGAGAACTGCAGCGGGGACACGTAGTACTTGGACTTGGTGGTGCGCTTCGGGTACGACTTCTTCACGACCTTCCCCCAGATGGTGCGGGTCGCGTTGGCGCGCGTCGGCGCCGCCGCGAACTGCAGCAGGCGCGGCACGTTGATGAACATGTCGTCGTCCGTCTTCAGGAGGCGCGGCGCTCGCGGGCAGTACGTGTCCGCCCACTCCAGCATCGAGAGCGTCTTCAGCGTGAGGTTCGAGTAAGAGTCTCGGAAACGGCCCACAATTAGGTCTCCGTACAGCTCGTCCTCGGCGACCAGGGCAGAGCGCAAGTCAGGGGGCGGAGTGCCCAGCATGAAGGCGATTGTGAGGTCCCGGCGTGCCGCGTAGTGACCCCAGGTGAAACGGATGGCAGCGCGCGCCTCAGCATGCGAGGGCGCAGACGTGATCAGCACTAACATACGGAGGTGTGCCCCCAGCGCCGGACACAGTTCAGGGTGGGGCCGCTCGTGTCCACTCACGTAGACGTCCTTAGTGAGAAGGGGCGCGGGTTTGGGTCGCGGGGTCGGCGAGGGTGGGTGCGGCGGCGCTGTAGTTTGGGACGCGCGGGTGGAAACTGTGCGGTTGGAGGGAGCGGGAGGGGTGGAGGGTGGCACTAGTAGAGGCGCCGGTCGTGGTGCGGGGGGAGGGCGCGGCGCGGGCGGGAGGTGCGCGAAGAGCACGAGTAGGAGGGCCCCGACCGCCAGCAGCGCCGCGCCGTGCGTGCGTCGCAGCGCGCCCATGTCGCACGCGCGGCCTCACCCGCAAGCCGACAACACGCGGCACCACGGACCCTGGAAATGCAAAACACCACGTTCAATAACAAACTAAAGAAAAACACCGGAAGCGAGATACAACTGAAACTGTAATGTTATAAAGCTATATGACTTTTAATAGGTTTAGATCGGCAGACGAGCTCTCGTCTCTCGGTCCTCAGGTCTGAGTCGATAGTTACAGTGTGACAGTCAGCACTCAGCTTGCGACCCGAAAGTCGGGTATCAACTACATTAAGTAAGGACCTATACCGAACTAAAAGAGTTCTGCTGCAATGAACCTGTCGAATCAACAGTCGCCCCTCGCGCCGCCGCCGGCCCGGAACGAAGCCGTCTGGCGCGTTTCAGCTCACTTTACTTTGGCAATGGTTAATATAGTGAATCAGAGTCGCGTAATAACCCCAGTGAAGAGAAATGTAAAGTCAATAAGTGACCTCATTCAAACAACTCGTCTACTTAATAACACAGCATCACGAAATCGACCGGCCGGGACAGACGGACCCGCAGCCCGCGCGGCGCCGGACCTCTGCCCTCTCTATGTTATTCTATTGTTACAATATGTAACTTCGGAGCTATAAAAGTGAGTGCTTATGATAACTGAATACCGAATAACACACACGGACACGAGTTTGAATGACTGTGTGGTGCAGTAGTTAGCGGCCCTAACTGTTCCGTCGAGGGTTGCATGTTCGACTAAATTGGGGCCGGGTGACAGTGCGTGACTTGTTCCCGGTTATTTATTTTATTTTTCATTTACAAGTGATAACCGCGCCCTTCAATGTAGACAATGTAATCACGCATGATGCATCGTCAGTTAGCGGCGAAGTGAAGAGCTTCATTGTCGATTCCACAGCTTTGCAGAGTACACGAGCAAGTGCCGAGTCAGCTAGGAGTTGTCGACGTCCTCGCGAGGCGCGACCTGCTCGCGTGTGTGTCTATCGGCATTTCTCATTGCCTTTATGAGCTTTGTTAGAAATAAGTTAACTGAGTATTCAGAGTACACACGGAGGGAGAGTAATAATAGCTATAAGTGACAGAAGTGCTGCTGACTTCTGAATGTATTAAATAGCGCCTCCCGCGGTATATCGGTAGATGTTGTTCGTGGGATCGTCTGTGCGAGCGGCCTCATCGTAATCCGATAGCAGAAACACGCGGTTCACGTGTATTATTCAAGTCGTATTGTTTGTAAAACATAACGTCGACCAGAGAGACATTACACACACGCATTGTGTTAGGATTGTTTATGTAAACGCGTGGGGCCACTGCATGGACGTGCAAGCGTTCCCGAGGTAGAACCGATACCTAAGTATCCTAAGGTAGCGTCAGAATGTTACTTCAACAAAGCGGCGCGATACCGTAACCATCTTATCGTGGCCACCGCTAATTACTTATACCACACAGGCGAAGGGGCAGCGCAAACACACAGTCCATTGAGTTTCTCATCGGATCTTTTAAGTGGGTCGGGCTAGTGTTAACAAATTCTCTCAGGTTGTACCCGTGAGATAACATACACGTCCGTGTGTGGTTGGAATAGCCCCTTAGGCTACCAGCGACTAGGTGGGTAAAAAAGATCCGGAGAGCGCGTGAGCTGGACGACCATATTTTATTGTAGGCATCGGCCATCAATAGTAACCACGTGCGTTGTACATTTCATAAATTAATGTGTAATGTTTACATTGAAAGAACGTCGCTAGTTATTGGCATAGACGTAAGATGCGCTCATCTGGTAGTGGATACCAGCAATACCAGGTCGGCATTTGTTTGGAGACGTGACTACAAAACTGTTTGAAGGGCGTTGCGGCTCGAGTTAACTACCTCAGAGTCCGACTCCCCGGTGTGTCGGCGTTAACTAACTGAGTATACACACAACGTTATAAAGCCATGACATTTGACGGTGCTTCATCATAATATTTGGTTACGAGCGAGAAGACAGTAAAATGGCAGTTCCTGTATTGTGCAGTGTAACTTGACACGCGAGCCGACACGGCGCCGGCGGCAGAGGGTCGTGACGAAATTTGTTCTTGGGGTTCCGCGACCAGTTAAATGTTTACTAATAAAACTGGCGCCCACCTTGAGGGTTCCGGGTGCCGGCTAAGCTTTTCGTACAGAACGCTATGCAAACTCTCCTGGTGCATTTACAAAGCTTTAGAAAGTTTATAGGCACAGTACAGAAGACTTACTTAGAGCTTACGGGCACTCAGTAGATTTTTGGAATGTGTTTATATGTAAGCGGTATTTATACTGCTAAGATAAAAGATCAAAATTTCGAAGGTAAACGCAATGATACTAGATACGGCTATATAGCTAGATCCGTAGATGTGTCTGCATGGAACGTAATGCCATGCATCGGTATGCCTGTTCACGACGCACCTCGGGACCGAGTTCCAAGTGTCAAGGTGTCTCACTCTTTAAACCGGAAAGTAATACTCCGTCACGCCAATAATCAGTTGATGGCGGTGCGTACCCCCACGGACTCGGAATACTTCAGATTATCAGAAAAAAAGCAGTGTACTTCATGTAATCATGTGAAGCGGTGGAGCTAAATCTAAACCGATTTGAATTAAAAACAAAGATGTCGCGGAACTGACGCTGGACACGACGCGACGCACAAAGATATGATTGTGTCCAGCACGGGGCCGCGAGTGTGTTATCGGCACATACATGTGTACGTACATATGTACATGTACAAGGTCTGTCGTGTCTCTACGCTGTCACCGCTCACCCGCTCAACTCTGGTACACGTGGAGGCATTATATCGTAACAGTATTGTGTTCTATCACTTTCAACCAGTTCTCTAACTAGCTAGCATAGTGAGCAGGTACAGTACAGGGATGGTATCGCGGTTCCGTCGGCGCCAGTGCCGAGGACGCGGCCTCCTGCTCCACTCGCCGCGAGTTGCACAACGCGCGTCACCTCCGACGTCGCGCTACACAAGTTGGCTAATGTTTGCATTGATCTTAGCGACGGCCGGAAGGTTATCGGCGCGCAGGCCTGCACTCGGTCAATGTCGCAAACATTTCATTTTATTATGAAGAATTGTTCATTGCAGGGACCCAATCATTAACGGAGAAGAATCCGAGACGCGCGACTTACTCCGGCACAAAAATCATGAACGTTTGAAGTTGAAAATTAATTTGTAGGTGTCGATCCGAGTCGGTCGCGTGTTTCACTTTCACCGCTAGCACGCCTAAACACACGCGAGCCCCTGGTTTCCGCGACATCTTCTATAAACGTTTATCTCAACTGTATTTCCGCACGTCGGCGCGTCGGCGGCACGTAATCATAAACTGGCTTTTCCGAGCGGTTTCGCTCGCTGTCGTCTGGCATTAAAATAAATGTTTCACCCCGTTGCACCCCTACGAGACGCAAACTTGGAACCCAGCTAGACACATTTGTTATTTGAACGAAACTTGACTAAGTGTATGTCTTGAGCTAGATTTTTGTCGGTTAGATTGCTATAGCTCCTTTAGTTGTGTTGATACCTCGGTGTCGTTGTGCTGCTGTGGCATGCTGCATGCGCCCGGCCACCACGACGTTTAGGAACATCAAGTTTGCGGTAGTCGAATGTTTGATGTCTGTCCAGCGAATTGAGCAGGCAGTTGACAAATCACTCCGCTCATTGATCGGGACAGCTCGTTTGATGTATGGACTTTGGATACGGTATTACATGTTGACAGCGGATTCTTTCGAACCGTTGGATCAGTGAGTCTCATCGTTCTCTCTCCGATGACTGTATTTCTAAATGTAAGCTTGTTTGTTAGGCTTAGGTCACAGTGGCAAGCGGTCGCAGGAGCACGTAATTCCTGTTTGCATCTAGTTTCGATCGTTTTCATGAAGTGTTAGGATCGCGAGTTAGGAATATAAAGTATTTAAATCAAATGCCTGTCTATAAATTGACGCTGGGGGGAAACCACATAAAAAATAGAGCGTTACGGGCGCTCTCATATAGCCATGACTCTACCACCGATTTCAAATGGTTTTTTTTATTCTTTTTTTTTTGTGCTTTTTGGATTTCACTACTGAAAATATTTGGCAAGAATCAGGCTGCTCTTGAAAAAACAAACCGTGCATTTGATTACTAACAATTTACACATTTGCCTATCCGAGGCGTTGGTCAATCGTTGAGGTCCGCGCGGCGGCGGCGCGGGTGCTCCGTGCCATCGTGTCTCGGACGCATTGCTCTAACGACTAACTGGTACATATACATACGCTTACGAACACATGCGCGAGACTACATTACATATCTGGCCATTGCTATGCAGATATACAGTGTGATACAAAATTGTGCACAATTGTCTAATATATATTGTTGGAATAGTATTACTTAGTTATTACGTAATTATATCGCTGAGGGTCAAAAGAATAGGATAATCTGGATGAAAAGCGTAGAAGAGGAGAGCACGGATTTTTGTGGAATAGCAAGGTCGATGAATCCCTGAGCAAACAATAGAGTCCATACGTCATGTAAACCGCGGAATGCAGATCGCTGCAGACAATGTAGTGGTCAAACGTGCAGTGCATACTGTGCACAGTGGCACGGCGCGGCGGCGTGCAGAGTGGCAGACCAATGACTCACGCGCAGTGCGAGGTGACCGCGCAGCAACAGAATACCCGCATGTTGCTCCGTGGTACACTATTGTAGGTACGAGCCACCAGCGACATCGTGGTGTGTGTGTGTGCGTGTGTGTCCTGCAGGCTACACGTTGCGAGTGCAACAGAGTTCATTCACCTCGCATCGCGCGCGCACATCCCCATGCCACGACTCTTAGAATAATTTCACTAATTAGGCTAGAGTTATTTCATTGCAGGAGACTAACTACGAGACATGTAAACGTGGCCGAGCGACTAGTCGCGGGAGCCGCGGAGACACTTTTCGTCTAAGCCTCGCGTTATTTTCCTCATTTTGAAATATGCAATTACACACAGTTTTGGTCACGCTTGACTGCACCAGACTTAACATTACAATTCAATTTGAATTTCAATTTAATACAAGTGAAATTCCGAAAGTTTTTGTCATAATATCATAATGATCATTGTTATACCTCAAACGTGTGAAGGAGCTTATGGTCGGCCCGCCGGGTGTGAAGTGGTAACCGTCGCGCGGCTGCCGCCCGCCCGCACCAAGTCACCAGGTCGGAGTAGGTATGAGTGGCACTCGTGGACGAGGAGTCGTGACTGCGGCAGCGCACGGTGATTACGCGTGTACGATGTGTATGCGCGGTTGTGACGCCTTTATCGATCTGCCGTTTCGTTCGAAAGTGACGATATCGACCGAACGTTACATATCATTATGTTTGCGGCGCGATAATATATGAATTAGAGCGAAAATATTCAATTGTGTACAAATCAAAATATACGCGGAACCGACTATGTATCGCAAACACCATAACACTTATCAATGGCATTGATAATGTTAATTAATTAGTTTTTGGTGATAGGATCTTATTAATATTAGGTCCTTTCTACAAAAACGATTATTCTTATGTGTTCACAGAACAGAACACACACAAAAATGTACACAGAGAAATTACCTAACATCTAAACGATGTTCAAGTCTTCATCTACGACCACATTGTTACTTTAACGCAGGGGAAAAAGAAACTCAACTGTGTCGTAGCGTACCTCACGAAAGCATTCTCGTTCTTAACAAGTAGCACCGTAATAACTGACAGAGTTCTACTTCATGTGATGACGTCACTCATGTCACCACTAGCATCGATATCAGCTACACCGCGGCGGTGTCCGCTGCTGCGACCAGAGTAGGGCGCTGCAGCTGGTGGCTAGCGATAGATAGGCCTGTACCGACAATAGCCTGGAGCACATGTTCAGAGATCAAGCAGAACGGGGGGGTTACAGCTGTAGATCACGGGTTTACGGTAACGATAAATAAGCGGGAAACTGACTGATTAGCTAACATGGATAAGTTATAAAGCGCTAAGTACCGGTGGAGTGGACCGCCTCCCGGGCGGCGACCTCGCGTGATCCATCCCACTCACGCTGCCGAACAATTATAAATACGTGATTCATTCAAGGTTAATCATTAAATTAATATTTTTTCTACAAATATTTAGAGAATTATAATGGGCTATTTAATTTGCAACACAGCGCAGGATCTCAACAAACGAATCAATTATTTTCGATTATAATGTGAGAAATAACATTTTCTATTTATTTGGCGTAGATAGTTGCTGAAGATCTTGCCCCCGCCAGTCGCAAATGGTCGCCGGGGACCGTTGACATCACAACTTGAACGAAGCCACCCACTTAAGACATGAGGTTAAAAACTCAACTGGCTCGGACTCAAAAGGTTGTCCCGTCCTGCAAATCAGCACGCATGACTTCCTTGAGTATGTACGTCTGCGCTCAGAAGACTGTCCGAGACTAGTGGTTGCAGCATCTGTTGAAGTATATACCAACTCCAACTCCTGATCTGATTTTGAACCACCCGTGAGAATATCCAATGAACTACAGCATAAAACTCACTTTTGTTTCAACCTAATTAGGACTCACACTATTATCATGGGTACTTTAACTATATTTATTGGTGTTGTATAAGTATTATTGTTTTTCATTATAAAAGATGTAGTGAATGTAATATTTTACTGAGAGTCAGAGATAGGTAGTATTAATGTGTATCACGTTTAAATGATGTGGGTACTTAGTATAAAGAAATAAATTACTGTTTATTAATTATTCTACAATCTGAGATTCAAACAAATATTTTTAATGAATGTGTTGTAAACATTACATAGTACACATTGTAGATAACACGTCATCTAAGATATTCAGCAGGTAGATGTGTGAGCTCACATCTATCACTATCACGCAGAGAACAAATGTACTTTCCAACATTTGCACAAGGTGCATTGAGTACACTTTGTTATCATGAGCTACAGATAATATTTATTATGCTAACAAAGCTTTAAATTAGGCACTTTATTCTCATTTAATATAGATGTGTCCAGAGACGTATTTAGAATGCATAGTCAGTGTTTAAATTTAGTTTATATTTTTAGTAATTTTCTCATAAAGCCATAATAATGAATTACAGTAATGGCTATGCAACCCCTCAAACCAAAACAGATGATTGCAACACAGCAGAAATAAGAGAAGAAATGAAGAAACGCTCAAAATGCAATGGCAGAATATATGGGTGTGTAAGCGTTAGTATATAAAGGTAGCTTGTTATCCTTTAAAAGATAAATTAGCAACTATTAACTACGATTCTACTCAAAAAAGAATGTGCTCAATATAATTTATTATTACATTTCTCAAAGCATTTTATAATGTAATACGATAAATTAAAAGAGTCTTTGCCTTATTAACTTGAAGAAAAATATACTTTGAATATACTTATTACAAAATATTGTTACTCAACACAAAATCTATATTTTGTTACAATCTTGTTTAGTGATCGGATTCTTCCAGAATGTCACAAAAAAATATATTCATTTCAATTTGAAGAAATTGGAATTATGAATTTAATTTAATTAATTTAATTATTTATTAGATAATTATTTAAAACGTTTTAATAATAAAAAATGTGTGCGTGTACTAGTGTACACACGTAAGAAGTGAAACTTGTTTATGGCCTTATTTTTCGAAAAATGATCTACATGCAACTTTCTAGAAATTGGTTAAATAAAGTTAAATTAGATAAAGTTTAAACAAAAGGATTTTATTATCATAGACATGAATACAAATAATACAATTATTTCACTTTACCTTTTTGCTACTAAGATTATTACAGCATTTTAATAATACATCTCTTTGATATCATAATACCCTGGTACTTTTCTTCCTATAAATTAATAATAATAGCACGGTCCACGTGGTGTTAAATGGGGTTCCTGAGGTTCGTGAAGTTTGACCCACCTTGAGACATGAGGTCGATTTCTCAAATCCGAAACCATGCTTCAGAACATACCGCCGTTAATTATTAATAAATCTCTTTGCTATCATAATACCCTGGTACTTTTCTTCCTATTATTTTACGTAATAACAGTAATAAATAGCACGGTCCACGTGATATTATTAAGTGGGCTCCCTGAGATTATTGGAATTACAAAATGATTTCCGTAATCCACCTGGAGACATGAGGTCAATTTCTCAAATCGGAATCCATACTTCAGAACATACAGCCGTTAATTAATAAAGAAGGCTGTACGTCAGAGTAAAGTTATAATAATACATCTCTTTGATATCATAATACCCTGGTACTTTTCTTCCTATTATTTTACGTAATAACAATAATAGCACGGTCCACGTGATATTAAGTGGGTTACCTGGGATTATTGCAATTACAAAATGTATTCCGTGACCCACCTTGAGACATGAGGTCGGTTTCGCAAATGCGCATCCATACTTCAGAACATACAGCCGTTAATTAAAAGATGGCGCGTAACGGAAAAATGTGACGCGTAACCGAAAAATGTGACGGTAAATTTTTTTCCAACGCCGATAAGGAAGTTTCACTTCAATAATAATAAATTCAATTTCAATAATTTATTTAATTTTCAATTATGTGTGCAAAGTGTAACTTATGAATTACATACCTATTAGCAAAAGCACTTTAAGTACAATGACATACTAAGATTAACAGTTACTTTAGTGTTAACTAAAGTTGTCTTACTTATCATAAATTAAACTTTTCTGGTAACAAAACTTTTAGTATTAAATAAAGTAAGCCCAAGTACCACAAAAAAATGGTGTTTATACAGTTTTTTTCAATCTAACAAAAGGTTTCTATTGTTCATTTTTAAATGATGGGACATATTTTTAAATAAAACCATATTTTTTTTCTCAGAAATGTTAATGCTAATTGAATTCATATTTTAGATCTTCAGTTATCAGACTATTATTACTTGATGATGTTCCTGAACTTAGAAATAAAAACTTAATGTCATGTCTGACTAATGTCATGACTGTACATTGTCTAATAAATGAATGTAAAAAATACTTATTACAGACCTGCAGATGATAATATCAGTTGTGCAAACAATTCACTTAAATTAACAAAACCTGCTCATAACTAATGTCAATCCACGGCTGTGCAAAAAGTATACCTTACAATGGTACAGCTGTTATAGTACTACGTTTTATACGTTATGAATTGTATTATATAGTTTTTCTGAAGAAAGTAGGCATGAACTTAGTGCTGTTAAACACAGACAAATCCAATGGAACAATGAACTTGAATTCGAATGTTTACAGACTTATATGTAAATTCTTATTCATCTAGTAGGTATTGAATACAAACTTTACTTGTATGTTGAGTTTGATTGTAAGACATTCATTAAATTCTTACAAACTACCTAGTTCCTATCGGAAACTACACGATATATTTTTTATTAAATGAGCAATATTAAACTATTATAATACAATTTATTACAGGTACAATTTATTTTTTATTTTGTATTTATTAAGTGTTGTGATTCGCAGTAGATACTCACCATAGTTTTATGTTGCGGGGACGCGTTACTGCCTGGATACAGGGAGTCTGCGCCTCGATATTCGCTAACTTTTCAACAAAATGCCCCGCAATATTCGATAACGGTTTTTGCGACACATCACACGCTTAACCGTGACTCAAATAAACGAATAATTTTGATATTTTCACAATAGACACATCGCAAACTAAAATTTTCAACTCATGACTACCACTGACAGTAATGACTACGTAGGTACGTATGTCGTAAATCGACAATCGACCCACCACCAATCACGGAATAGTCTGTCGCTACCACAGACAACACAAAAGTCAGATAGAACCTTACATACTCTCCGAAACAAAAGAGGCAATCAAAAACATATTTTACTTTAGACAAAATAGTCTTACGAACCAATTGCTGAAAGTTTGGAACAGAAGTGCCGACTATTTACAGCAACTGAATTCAGTAACTACGTATGTGCGCGGTTATGTTAATGATTCATATCGTATACATACATCATTACTTACTTACTGCTTTAATCGTCCACATTGATTACGATTACAATTTCGTTGCTTATCTTCAAATCTCTTTCAAAAACTTACCTTATTGATTTTATAGTTCTAACAATATTTTCACATATATTTTTATTTATTTATGAGAATTTACCAATGGTTTGAGCAATTTGCCAATCTGGTCTGTTGGCTTTAATGTCAAGCATATATAATTCTTATTCAATTCACATTACATGTACATTAACACATTNAATTTACCAATGGTTTGAGCAATTTGCCAATCTGGTCTGTTGGCTTTAATGTCAAGCATATATAATTCTTATTCAATTCACATTACATGTACATTAACACATTTAATTTTTAACATTTAATGAACACATTATGGATAATAATAAAAAATCCAATTGTTTCATTATTCATTGTAGTTAATCAAATAATTGTAATTAAATAGATTAAGGTTATTAAACATATTACGGATTATTAACAGATACCTAGGTATCATTTAAGTAAAATCTGCTCTGAGGAATTGTTTGAGATGATACCATAATCTCGTTTTTACTATCGCACCGCCCGCCACCGGAATAGAGTTCATCCTTACTACCTGGGGCCATTGCGTTTATTCACAGTACGTTTCCAGAGATCTTCTTGGCCACGTACCACCCGGCTTTGGAATGATCCCCTCCATGGTGTTTCCCGAGCGCTATAATATTTCCTTCTTCGAACGAGGCTTGTGGAGAGTACTTAAAGGTAGGCAGCGGCTTGGTCCCTGGTATTACTGAAGTCCATGGGTGACGGTAACCACTCACCATCAGGTGGGCTATATACTCGTTTGCCTACAAGGGCAATAAAAAAAGCGTTAGGAGCAATTGCTATAACAAATGATGTAACAGCGTCAACGATAGTTAGGTTATAAGTGTAAACACACAAATAATATGAGTAATTCATAGCGCAAAATTTGACTTTCAGATGTGTAGTTGTATAGCAGTGGGTTTAAGATTGAGATATTTTCTAGGTTTTAAAACAGGAATGATTAACTGAGCTTTTCAAGCGTCAGGGACGTCACCAAAACTAAAACACGCATGTATGAATTTTGAAAAAAAAAAAAAAAACAACTGACGGCTATATTGACTGAACATTTTTAGAGATCATGGGAAGTCATGTAAACCAGGAGATGGGTCCTGGATATAAATAATTATCGCATTTAGTTTTTAGTAACATTTGGTTGGGTTCTTCAATAAATACTGATGATATATTAGGCATTTATTGCACACCTTGCTTAGCTGACGGTAGGCGAACGACTGCCCTCGCAAGAGCGTCGCCCGACAACGCACATACACACACGTCATATTGCAATATGCAACATTGCATATTATCTACACTACAAGTTAATTAATATAGAGAGAACAAAAAGATCCACAAAAGCATAGCAATTGGAATTCAAGGTATTCATCATAGAATGAAGCTCAACGCATAGCAGACTTGTTTGAAAATTGGAGTAAAGTTATCAGAAAAGGATATTGGGAGAATTTGAGATAAATAATTCTGTTTGAATCTTTTAAATCTCTGCCAAACAATTGTTGACGGGGACGAAGGCCAAACGGAGGAACAGTTTGTTGTCAGTATTCACACATTTCTTTCGGAGCAAGCCACAATCTGGTCATGCTTACGAAGGTAGTCAATAGTCAGATTATTTAAGCAATTTACTACACATCTTTTCGGGGTATATTCTTCTTTTTTTATGATTGAAGGTTTATTGGCGGCCCTGAGGCCTTTCTAGTTTCCACTCTTCCGTAGAAACCACATCTTGGTCTCTGCCAGCTTACATGCTTGCAGTAAACAAGTTCAAGTTAATAGCCCATTTGTAGTGGCATCCATAAGCATCAACTATTAAATAACTAATCTGAGCTCGCGAAGAAGTGATGTTTTTTTTTTAAGGATTAAAGGATTACTGGTAGCCCGGAGGCCTTTCCAGTTTCACCAGGACAGGTGGGCGAGCAAAGGCTCAGCCAGGAGGAGTGGGATTAGCTAACAATTGCCCGGGCGTCTCAGAAGGAGACCTAACAACTCAAGAGCAGATACTTCGCCGATAAATGTATTACCGTATCGGAATCGCGACCCGCTGAAAAGATCCGGCGAGACACTCAGTGAGCTGATGCATGAGTTAGGTTGCAGGTTAGGGTACTCGGTTGGGGTATATTCTCTGACCATTAAGAAGATGAATCTGTTTTTCCCCAAGCTAAATTCTTTATACGATGTTGGCATAAGCAGCCTCCGAAATAGCCCAAGAGATTGTGCTAAGTAAGATACAAGTCGTTAGTTGATAGACGAGAGATGGACAGGAGTATTTTCAGCTGTTGTCGATTTGGTAGGGCGTAACAGACCGGAGTATGGCGGACTTCGGGACATCCAGATAACAAGTGGGAAAAGAGGAAGACCTAGGCACTCTTCTTCTTCCAATTCTCCCTATGAGACTACGCCTTGAGTAAGTTGCGCGACGCGACGCGTCATATATGACGCACAAAATCGCCCTGCAAAACCTACTACCGCCTAAACCCCGTCGAGATTTACAACTCCGACTAGATGAATTTCTCACGGCTCTTCCGTCGCTAGCGGCGCTCGCTCCCGGGGTTCCAGTCGAAGCCGCGCCTCCAGTACCGCAAAACGAGCGTCGAGCTTGGTCCCGAGGTTTGCATAATGCGTTAGAGGCGCAACAAAACTCTTTCTCTTCCTTCTTTCTTGGAGAAGGCATCGTGGCCTTTTTTTTTTTTTAATGCTGGGTAATCCATTTACGGATACCCGGTCGAGGGGGTAACGGACCGGGTTATGTCGGACTCCGGCGCCTCCTGAGAGGAAGAAGGGGAGAAGAGAAGGGCCGAGGTCCTTCATTTCCCCCAATTTCTCACAGGAGACTACGCCTTGAAAAAGGCGCGCGAAGCATTTGCCCCGCAGAACGACTACCGACTAAACCCCATCGAGCTCCACCACACCGACTACACGAAACTTACGGTACCGCGATGCGCACCGAAAGTCTCGCCTTAGGCGGTACCCGTACTAATGTTAAGATGGGATTTCATCCCCGGGAAAATCCCGTAGAACCTCGTCTCGGGAGACACCGTGAGCGGCGCACAGGAGCCAACTTGCACCGCTTCACCACCGGACCAACAGTCGAGTGCCGAGCGCCCCCGCACCCGGCACTCGATAGTCCCTACGAGGGCTGAGCGGCGGCCTCTCGAACGCGCCGTCCACCCCGCCTTCTGCGCTGAGGAGCCGAAGAGGGATCCCGTTCCCTTTCGCGCTCCTCAGTCTCACGAAGCGCCATGACCAAGTCACAGAACCCAGCCATGGCCTCCCACGAACTCCGGTCCTCTACCATACGGGCGACTATAGCCCGCAAAGAGAGGTCCTGCCCCAACACCGCGACGAGGTTTCGCCGCGGGTGCTCCCACCGTGGGCACGCTTCTAGCGCGTGCTGAGCGTCATCGTTCGGGTGCCCGCACTGGTGGCAGGCCCGGATGTGGCTCCCTTCCGCAGACTCTCCACAGATACCTCCAAATCAAATCAAATCAAATCAAATCAAAAATTTTTATTCAACATAAATGAAAGTACATACTTGTTGAACGTCAAAAGCACTACCGCCAATTCACAAGAACTCGCCTCCGTCCTGAGAAGAATTGGCAAGAAACTCAGCGGGCATGTCTTTTTTTTTTTTACATATGAAATTATTATTTATTTATTTTTTAATATTAGTTTTTTTTTTTAAAATATGAATTTTTTACAATGTGTAATATAACGTAACAATTACTACAATATTGAAATGCCTGGAGCGAGCAACTCATTCCCACTTTGTGCAATCTTCTAGATAATCATTGACTTTATAGTAAGCTTTATTGCACAGATGTTCTTTAACAGTTTTCTTAAACCTATGTATATGTAGGTTCTGAACATCTTGTGGGATTTTGTTGTACAGGCGCACAGACAAACACCCGAATGAATTTCGTATCTTATGTAACCTACTCATCGGCACAACAGCTTGTGTTTTGTCTCCGAGTATTTCTATTATGATATGTCCCGTAACTTTTTAGGGAACTCCTCAAT